TCTGCTCGTTTGCCGACCTATTACATAAAAAAAAAGTGAAATCTTTGGAACCGCTGCTCGAATTTTCATAATTCTTGCACTAATTGATAGCTACAATGTTCCCGAATGCTACACGGTAAACATCACGCTACAATCAAATGGAGTCGAGCAGCGAGTGAAACCTAGGGAGTAGCTAGTATATTATATAAAACATTAAACAAAACCTCAACAGTCTATATACATTCTAAGTAAATCGCAAGGCAACGTTTTCTTTAAAAAACTATTAAAATAGGAAATTAGTCTGGTAAGTACTTATATGTATATTTTTAGGTATACATACATACATATATAAAAGTGTGTATAAAAAATAAAAAATGTGTAGTATGTAGTTATAATTTAGGTGGAACAAGTAATTATCAAAGTAGGCGTATCAGTGAATTGTATTGGTGTCACTCAGACATTTACACTTCAAATATTAAATAGGTTACTTATAAATAAGTGACTAAGTAAGTAGTTTACTTAAATTAAAATTACCAAAAGGCAGCGAGACATGGTAACTTTTCTACTCAGTGGGGACTATGCAAAGCACATGGCTTTTTTGAGGAGAAAGACTAAGGATTGTGGTAAGTATTTTAAAACCACCCTGGTCGTCATCATGACCTGTATGAGAGAGAAAAGGATCTATCTATATGCATACACTTTAGACCCTATTAAAAAGAGTAGGAACTATATGCTCTAATAGAATTACACAATCCTTCCCCCATCCCTCGAAATTCTAAAATATATCCAAAACCCTAATCCCAAAAAAGCCGGCAAAGCACTCGTAGGTCAGTCATCTCAAGTTTTGTCCTGAGATTTCATAATTTTTCAACTTATCTCAGGGTTGTGGTCGGAAAAAATTTCGTAATATCTCAGGACATTCGGAAACACAGGTTACAGTTTAATATTAAACCTAATAAAAAAAAACAAGTATCTACATAATTATCTGTGATATCTACCTAATTATTTCGAATCTTAATTAATTATTAAATGACTAAATACATCCCAATTATTCTTATCATCTATGCTAAACAGCTGATTTCAATTTGTTTCAACTAAATATTCGTAATTAGTAATTTTTAACCGTTCAAACAGTATCTGTGCTACGCCTACTTTATGAGTCATTTTCCGATATCATTATGTATGTACAAATACATTATAACTTCTATCACATCTTTTGTAATGTGCTCTCAATAATTTAAAGTCCAAAAAGCATTTATTTTAATTATAATCTTATTAAAAATCACTTTTAGAACGCATCACACCACATCATAATGTCAGCGTCTTTGAATTCGAAACTTGACAAGTACCAATGTGACTTTTTCCGAGTTATATGTACATTTTCTATAATTACTTAGACTCTACTGACATACGGTGAAGGAAAACATCGCGATGTATAATGGACTTATTAATTTTAAACAAAAGTTTTAAATCGCCAATCCGCCTTTTGCAAGCGTGGTGATTCATGATCAAGTCTTCTCCGTGTGATAAGAGGCCTCTGCTCAGCAGTACTTATAGGGTGACGATGATGATGATAATGATGATCACACAGGTAGTAAAATTATTTTCTTGTCTCAACCAAATCCACTATCATGGATTAAATACAACAAGAACTAGAAAAGCGTTCACCATACAATGAAACAATGAATTTATTCTTGCAAAAAGGCCATAAAACGGCACTTTTGTACGTCAAATTATATGTAAAAAACTAGATAAAGCCGACATAATCATGGACAACGAAGCTAAGTATTGTTAACTTATTGATTAGAACTTTTAACCTGCAGTTAGTACCAGCTCTCCTTAGTAACTTGGTACCACTACATCGATGGTACAGAATATATTAACTTCAAACAAACACTACACAAGCATAACAAGGTACCCTAAAATATTTAAACTTTGCTTTTACATTTTCAATTTTACCTTAAGCTGTATAAGGTTGAAACTCCTTTAAATGCATTACACGTATTAGTATATTTTAATATGCTGGTGTATTGAGTACTCAAAGTTAATTCCCACAGTACGTCACCTCATAAATCCAGCAATGTATACAAAAATAGGTACAATTTAGTATTCCATACTCGATTCAGTTTATCGCAGATCAAGATTTCCAATTGTTTGATATGGTCGTAAAGGAAAAGAACAACTCCTCAGAATGTATAATTTCGGTCTTATAATACCACTAGTTTCAGCCCGCGGCTACACGCGCACGCGTACTTTCGTTATCCCATGATTTTAAAAACAGCACATTTAAAAATAGGCAAGTTAAGTATAATTTATATAGATACAATAGGTCTAAGGAACATTATAGCTACTCAGTGAAAAAATTTTGGAAATCGAACCAGTGGTTCCAAGGATCCCTCTACATACAAACGTATAATTTACCTCTTAAAGAGGTAATATTTGTATGTTAGTATGTAGGAAGTAATCTTTGGAAAGGCTGGTTGGATTTGGTTCTTGAGCTAGCTATAGTTTAAACGTTACTTTTATTTTTAAATCCCGAGATACACAACTTTTATACGCGTGGAAGCTTGTATTGAATAAATATAGAAAGAAAGAAGAAAGAAAAACCATTTGTTACGCCACGACATATATTAAGAATACAGGTACACAAACAAAAAGCCCATAGTGCGTCGCAGCGCAAAAGGCTAATATCTAATAAGATTAAAAGAAAAGGTGTTTAATTAAGTATAAAAACCCACTGCCACGTGCAGATCTGAAGATAATACAAACAAAAAGGTGTCAGTATATATTTTCCCACAAACACGACTTTGATACAATAATTAGGTACAATCGAACGCGTGCCTGTCATCGATCGTTTAAATGGCTGCGTCAATTAACAAATCAACTTAACGATAAAAGTCACGGGATTCTAAAATAACAATTAATGTTTACTGATAATATTGTAAACAAGTATTTAAAACGTCACAAGACCTCTTTGACCTTTGTTATCAGATACCTAATGAAGTACACAGAAATTAATTAATGTAACAATTATATTGAGGTTTTGACGGGTGTGTCTTAATTACAATGCTTCTAATTGAACTAGATTACAGTTAGAAATGTTTTGGCTATACACACATCAATAGCCTATAAGTGCCCCACTGCTGCCACACAAGTTTCCTCACGATGTTTTCCTTCACCGTATGTCAGTGGTGTCTAAATAATCATAGAAAGTACATATAACTCGAAAGAAGTCACATTGGTACTTGCCAGGTTTCGAAATCACACCCTCATGCATGAGAAGCGGGTGCCTTTACCTACGGGACACCACGACGACATTTTCTTTTCGTTACATTACACCTTTAATGTGTGTAGTTTTGTTGTCACTTAACCGATTTTAATTATGTCGCGGTCATTAAGTATGCAGGGGAAATTAGAGTGCATATAAGTACGTGTGCCCTCTCTGTTCCCTCAATATAAATCTGTCGGGTGAATGCCATTGAGGTCTGGGAAGACATTTTTTATATTCGTTTCGGTTTTTAGTTTCGGAGGACATATTAAATTAATTAATTGGCTAATTCGCCTAACTGTTTGGCGAAATAAATCAGCCCTGAAATTAGTCGAGTCCTGACTAATGTCAGATTCAATTCGTTTCGCGCAATGTTGTTCATGAATACATATGAGCCCCCAGCGTGCCTTGGAACTGGTCGAGATGTCTCGTCAAAGTTACATAAAAAGCCGTTATAGTTAGGAAAGGTAGTAACAGTAAAAACTTAAAATGCTATACGAATGGGTCGGCTCGACCGGAGTGATACCACGGCCTTACAGAAGACCGGCGTGAAATAACCATAGCGTTGTGTTTCGCCGTGTGAGTGAGGTTACCGGAGGCCCAATCCTTCCCCGCCCCCAATCCCTCCTAAATCCCTAAATCTCCAAATCCCTAATCCCTAAAAGGTCGGCAACGCACTCGTAACTCCTCCGTTGCGAGTGTCCATGGGCGGCGCTGATTGCTTACCATCAGGTAATCCGTCAGCTCGTTTGCCAACCTATTAAATAAAAAAAAAAAATCGAGCAGACAATTATTTAATTTGGGACAATCAGGGTCGTAAACTAAATATATCTTATCCAAATTGTCCTTAAATATGTAATGATCTGCATCCAGTATATTATGCTGGACATCTCCAAATACATAACTATTATTAATATTAATTACAAATACAGAGAAAATACCATAACGAAAGATTAATTATTACCATATTTAATAAACTCCCCTTTAAATCTTTTAAAACACATTTACATTGTAAGCATAATAAATAAATAGATGCAACCGATCCATTAAAGACTCGACACCTTTCAATAAAAAATCTAAACACGTTCTTCAATGCATACGACACGTCACTCATTGTTTCCAAGCAAACAATAACATACCACGTGCAAATTCCCACAGTATTTCTGTGTTTACTATCAAAGAATATTCCAATATTTATCAGTGGAAAATCTAGATCTGAATGTTTCATAATTGATGTTAAATAACTTTATTCCAAAAACATAGACAACAGAAAGTTTCTCATAGAAAACCTGGTGATTGTTTCCACCACAAGATCAATTAATGATGAATGAAGCGATTTAGTTGTTTATAAAACTAATTAACTGATTGGTAGATAGCGTATACATACATACATAGCTACAGCTTCACATTTAATTTCTTTGTCTGTCAATAATCTCTTTAAAATGTTAATAAATTTAAAAGTTTCATCATTCACTTTGTGCAATACTACTAAAGGATAGCTTCTGCGCAGTTAGCCAGTCCAAAAGTGATCGGTCGCCATCGAAATCAAAGACACGATTATTATTACAAACAGATTGAATTCGAAAACAAGAATAGTCTTATAACAACGATGCGGTAGACGACAACCACTTGAGATAACAGACATTAAACACATATGCGTTTACGATGACAGATAAAAACTTCTTGATAGTCAATGCATTCGACAAGCGAGCATATTGATAACTGTTCTTAATGTTACAATCTTTGTTTACAGAACGAGTATGGCGGTGGGAGCAAGCGATAAAGATTCACAAGGTAAAACAATTGACGAACAAGACTTACTCAGTGACACATCAAACAATTCAGAAGAAAATAACACGCTTAATGAAGTAAATAATAAAAATGATGATAATGATACTCAGAATGATACGAATAAAGTTGAATCTGAAACTAATGTAGACAAACCAGCTGATGGCAACAAAAATGATAAAAATGAATTAGCACAAAATAAAGACCCCAACGATGGAACTAAACTAGGCAAAGATACTTATGAAAATAAAAATGAAGATGAGAAAAAAGAAGAAAAGCGATTTTCTAGAAGAAGTTCTCATTATCTGCAGAACATTCAGATGACTAATTCCTCATTAGGATTAACTTTGGGCTCGGAAAAGAAAGAAGCTACCTTACTGTCGGAGACACAAACTGTAGCCCGCTTCTCGCCGTTATGGAAACAGGTAATTCGAAATTTTGTTCATTTCTACATTTGATAAATATTTTTTTTATTTTTCGTGACTAAAGTGTCAACTCAAAAGTATCTAACATGGTTTTATTTGAATTAAAATGATTGTTATTTACCACGTAATTTTAAAACTCGAGAAACATTATATTACATACAAAATGTCGAGTCTTTTTTTGAAGAAATACAAATCTAAAAATAAAACGTATAAATTTTAAATACCGTTGTCTACAGAATAAACAATTTAACTTTATAAAATGCTTATTTTTATTTTTCAATAAAATAGAAATGGCATTGTTTCATAGGCAACTCATTATCATCGCACACGTTCCACGATCATGAATGATGGTATTACGTATTTGTTACCATCAAGAAGTCATCGAACCTCTTCTATATTTTTATCTACAATAGATTTGTCAACTTACACTGACACTTTCTTGTTATGACAAGTATTTACAATATTCTTACAACTTTGTTAAATTCATCTCCGCCTTCAACAACCAATATAAGAAATAAATGTGCATTCCAGACTTTGGCATCATCAGCTCCAATCCTCATGACCTTCGTCAGTGGCTTGACATCAGGGTACTCTGCAATTCTACTACCTCAACTGAAAAACAACCCTGGACCCATACCTTATGATGAAAACACCGCCTCATGGATAGGTAAGTTTTCTATAAAGCTACTTAAAAACATAAAATTTTACTGTTCGCTTGAAATTTTGAAAAATTCAAAACTTATTTCTGCGTTTCTTTTATTTTAATAAGTTCTAGGAATATTCCATGTGTATTAATTCAAATGCATTTGCCAAATTAACATTATTTCACTGTTTAAAATACCCATTTAGACTTTCCTATTTATTTTATCAAATTATTTTGTATATAAAAAACTGTTTTGTATTCTAACATTACTGTTGACTTCTTTTATTATCTTGAAATTAAAAATCAACATTTTCTATTTACAGCCGCTATTGCAGCATTACCAATGGCCCCAGGATGCCTCGTCTCCGGCTGGATGATGGAGAAGTTTGGAAGAAAGACGTCTCACTTCATTACCTGCGTACCTCTTCTACTCGGCTGGATCCTCATCGCTGCCTCCTCAAACCTCGAACTCATGTTAATGGGCAGATTTTTCTCCGGCCTTTGTGCCGGTCTATCTGGCCCTCTCATCCCTGTCTACATTGGTGAAACTACTGAACCAAAGTATAGAGGATTTTTCCTTGCTGGAGTATCGTTAGCAATAGCTCTAGGAATATTAGTCGCCCATATCATCGGAACATTCCTCAGTTGGAAGTTGACTGCTTCTATATGTGCCATATTCCCAGTAATCACCGCTGGGCTTCTATTTTTGGTACCTGAAAGTCCAACCTGGTTAATTTCACAAGGTAGGATAGAAGATGGTGCTAAAGCTTTCTATTGGCTAAGAGGGTATGGTGAGGAAGCAAAGAAGGAGTTAAGAGGACTCATTGAAAGTAAAAAAGCATTAGATAGTGCACCAGCTATGTCGTGGAGGGAAAAACTGGTGAGCCTTAAGAACCCCGAACTGATCAAACCTTTAGTTATCATGGTTTTGTTCTTCTGCACGTGCCAGTTCTCTGGAGTCAACGCGGTCGCATTTTATTCCATCGAGATTGTTGAGAAGGCCGTTGGGAAGGGTATCGATCATTACCTTGCCATGTTAATTATAGACTCATTGAGAGTCGTTATGAGTGTGGTCGCTTGTGTAATATGTAAACAATATGGAAGGCGACCTCTGTGTTTCATAAGCGGGATTTGGACTTCGATCTCGATGGTCGGCCTATCAATGTTCCTTTATTGGAAGCCTGCAAATATGTCATGGTTGCCATTAATGTTTCTAATGTTCTACATTTGTGCTATAACTATAGGATTGGTTCCATTGCCTTGGATCATGTGCGGAGAAGTATTCCCAACGAAGGTCCGAGGTATAGGATCTGGCATAAGTTCATCAACGACGTTTGTAGCATTTTTCATTGTTGTCAAAACTGCACCAGGGTTGATGAGCACGTTTGGTGAAGTGATAACTTTCCTAGGTTATGGAGTTGTCGCTCTGATTGGTACGGCTGTAATGTACTTTATATTGCCAGAAACTAAAGGGAAGAGTTTGCAAGAAATTGAGGAGAGATTTAGAAATGGCAAGAAATCTGTAGGGCCTAAAGTGTAGATAAGATATTGGAATTTATATTGCCTTAATAATTTATAAGACACGCCATTAAGTTAGGACGACGAACAATGTACAAAATATAACGTGCTGCTCGCTCTAAGCGATTTAATAAAGACTGTGATATTTAGGTAGTCATTTTAATTAAAACTTTAATATCTTTGCTATTGTATCTAAACAATTATTGAGAAGTAAGATAACTTAATCATATACATATTATGATCATTAATCTTGATATTTTTAAAAGACATTGAGTGATTACTTGGTAGTTTAAAATATACTTAATCCATATTATATTATTTTCGTAAACTTTAATAACTTGATTTTAAGGATGATTGAGATATTTTGAGAAATTTTATAACATTCCATGTTGAAGACAAAATGTTGAAAAATATTTTTATAATCTAATTATTATTCTGTATTAAACGTTATGATGGTGCTTTTCCAAAAATATTTTTATATAATTATTGTAACCTATTTTACCAATAAATATTTAAATATTAGAATTAGTCTAATAAATCTTAATAAAGCTATAGATGCTAGATGGCGCCAGTGTTCGGCTACTTATGTAAAAGCCATAATTTATTTAGGTTAAAAACTTATTAATTAATATGTAATCGGTAATACAGTAAACACATTTATGGGTGAACCACCAAAGAGTTTGGGAATATTTGAAATAAAGAACAAACTGTAGAAAATAACTTTATTATTACGAACTGGTAACAAAACAGATTATAAAAATAGTGTCTATGTGATGGCACATTACTTAGTTAAGTTAAATATATTAAATGCATTTTGGTACTGTCTGCCATATTATTAAGTACATGGATTCTATAAAACAATACAATGTATATTGAAACATGTTTATGTACATTATTAGTTGATGTTAATACAATCATCCTAAATATGAAATATTAATGTTGTTATTTATTTCGTTTCGATTTCCTTGTCCAATGCTTTCTTCCATTTTACCTTTTGCATTGCATGGGTTTCCGTCAGACACATTAATTACTGTAAAAATATGAATTTTCGCTTATATTCTGTGACGAGCGCTCAGCGAAGGGCCTTGGCAAGCGGACTCTAACAAAAGCGCAGTCATAGTTTGCAGTGATTCGTAAGATGTCATGCAATGACAGACGAGGTATCGGTCGTCTACTTGGATCTTGGCTTGACCAAGCGTGATGCTGGTGGGGCGAACTTGGCGAAGCCTTGCTGGTCGAACACTGGCAGAAGATCACGGACCCTGGCTGAGACGGTGCCGCCCGTGACCCTGGGGACAACCAAACTTTAACATTCTGTTAAATTATGTGTCTGTGCTCAGTAATACTGTGAAAAATATAGAGAAGTATACATTTTGCTTCCACGTTATACTAAAAAATATTAGGTACAGTTAATCCAACAACAATGTCTGGTAGATTAATTCTACAACAATACAGTATACCTACATTCAAATCTAAAACTTATGAATTCATATTCATAGAGTAGGTATGTACAGTCATAATAAATTTCATACAGAAAAAGGGGGGTTTTTAGTCAGCAAGAGTCTGACACTCCGTCTCGACCCTACCTGGTTAGCGGGGAGAAATGATTTGAGGATTTGCTTCTTTAAAAAAATGAAATATTCGTATGTGTATGTTATTGAAAAAAATATTGAAAACCTAAGAGAAAATAGAAATAATAAAATAGAGATATACATATAATATAAATTAATATTTTACACGATCATGACTAAATTTCGCGGTTAAACGGTAGATAGCACTGAGGACTGACTGATATAAAGATGTCATGACGCTATTTCTTTCTTTCTTGAGGTGATCCGACAGAACTAAAGTTATCCACATAGCCCAAAGGATTAGCAAACTGAAGTGGCAGTGGGCAGGTAACATCTGTCGAAGAACCGATGACCACTGGGGTTAACGTGTTCTAGAGTGGAGACCACGTCTAGGCAAACGTAGTGTAGGGCGTCCTCCAGCTAGGTGTACTGACGACATCCGCAGGGTGGCTGGTAGTGGTTGGATGAGAAGAGCTGAACATCGAGCTCAGTGGTGTGCAATTGGGGAGGCCTATGTCCAGCAGTGGACGTCAACAGGCTGGTGATGATGATGACGCTATTTCTTGCAACGTACCGTAACCATGGCAACCAACAAATTTGACAAATTCTGAGGTAAATTTTGTTGACATGGGTTTCGTAATATCACATTCGTCGAGACATTATATTCGACATTCCCAAACCGAGTTTTTTTCAAAAAAATCCTAAATATTTAATTTTGAACGGAATAAAAAAGTTTATCTGCCTTTTACGTAGTAATATACATCGGTAGATGAGCGAATCTCATTCTAGTATCAGGTTCCTATAAAATTTATGTTTAGTTTACATGTGGAAGCAAAACTTAATAATGATAATGTTGATTACCTGCTGGGCTTGATGAGCTTAGCAGCCTGGGCCGGCGTCGCGAGCTCAGTAGGAAAGAACGTGGCGCCATAGAAGTCCAGACCATTCTGCAGCAGGATGTTAGCTTCCTCGATATTGGCGAGCGTGACGCGAATCACACTGGTTGCCTCCTTAGGAATCATGCTGCTGACCAACTCTCCATCGATGGTAGTGAGGGCACGAGAGCTAGTCTTCTCCAATGGCTTGGGAGTTGAAGTGCCTGGAAGCATCGGTGAAAAATTTTATCCACTACTTTCATCAATATAGGTACACTACGTTATTAGTTTGATCTTAGTAATTCACCTATTGTAATTTTTCGAACATTTATATCTAAACCTTAAAGAATCCATTTCTAAGCTAGCCTACATAGGATTTTGGTAAAGGAAAGAAGGAAAGCCTATTAAAGCTAACAGAGAAGTGGAAAAACGTAGTGTTCATGCGCATCGGTAATATTAAACTTAGAAAGGCGTGTATACTAAATGTTTTAATTACATAGATAATAAATAAAACGTTATTTTGGTTATCATACTACGATCCGTGGTAAAAAGTGTAAAAGGTTAACTATTTCTCGAAGAGCGCCTGACCGAACCAACATAGCAACATGTCTTGCGAAAGTTAATAAAGAAAGGTGCGATACTGATACCTATACTATACCAACCAGTGTTTCCATCCTTGGGGGAGCCGGAGAAGTGGAGACGGACCACTTCCACGACGGAGGTGAACTTGTAGAGGGCGTGACGCACATCCTCCTCAGGGACCTCATCGGGAATGTCATACACGTAGATGGTAAACGTCTTCTGAGGTCTGCATGGTATCGCAATCTGAAATTGTACGGTAACAAACAAAATATTCGTTGAAATTATATGAAAAAAATATGTTGAATAATTTGTTAATACTAAATAAAATGTAATAAATACGCATAATTAGAATGAAGATCCTATATAAGTTTGCTATCTAAGATAAAGTCAACTGAACTCTACTGTTTTGTAAAAACGAAGGCATAATAGAAGGGCGAAGAGGAAAACAAAATAATAAAGAAACAGTAAGAAAGGAAGCGTTGAAAGCCAAGCTAGAGAAGAAAGCATCGAAAGCAAACATTTTAGAAATATCAAACCAATTACCTTCCTATAAAACCTGGATCCAGTAACTTTATGGAAACCTTTCTTGAAGACCATCTGGTAGTCATCAACACTGGAGAATTTAAATAGTATGCCTGTGGCGGTCTTCGTCAGGGAGAAGCACCCCTTGAACTCCATTTTCTCGCAGATGGCCGAGGCTTTCTCCATGCTGAGGCCGTGGGAGGGAGTGAGGAGGAATGCGCCCTTAGTCAGGAAGTGTTCGGAGTCCGAGATATCGGACTCACTCTCTCCGCCCTTCATCAGAGTATGGATCTGTTCCTTCCACATGTAAGAGTCTGACATCTGGCAAGGAGTTTTTTATTTTTACTACACATCGTTACATTGCTCATTAATATTATGTTATAGGAGTTCCTCAAGGGTCTAAAATGGGTCCTATTGATATTAATTGATAAATAATCTTACAATAAACAACAGCGTAGTATTTGAGATTACCTACATACTCGTTACTCTAATTCGATTATAATCCGAGTCAACCTATCAATTATTTTAAATCGATTTATGAATCGATCAAGAAAAATACTAATAAGAATACAATAGATATCATGAATAGTGTTGCGACAGTAATGATCTATAATTGCGATCCGCTTCACTGGGGATAGGGTGCGTACGCGCAAGAAATGCTGCCAGTTTAATTGTAGCATTGTTCTTTTAGTTTCCGGCTGTCAAAAGATCCAGTAAGATTTATCATCGGATGTGTGGTCCGTGATTTACTGTACGGGCTTAGGTTCGAAACCCACTCCTTTATAAGAATGAAAGACTTAGTATACCTAAGTGTTACCTAGTAACTAGCTCATCGCCCAAGTGTCCAAGCACGCGTTCTAATTTTCAAGTTCCCGAGTCTGATAAAATATTCGACGAAGAATTATGAATTATTTTCTGATCATAATTACAGCGGTCACAGCTAAGAGATTTATGATTAGCGAAAACTGAATTCTAAATATAATTTTGAGAACAAAACAGCGTTTGCTACCATATACCATGTATCGTTTTAAATTAGATTATTAATTTTACTCATTATAACCCAAACTAATTTAAAATAAGCAACCAAATAATAAAACTAGAAGCCACAACAGTAAATGTTGATAGTATAGTTAGCAATACATTGCGTAGGTGTGAAACCAATTACTGAAGACGTTACGAACAAAACTGAACTTGTATAATTACGTTGTTCCAAAAGTGGGTGGGCAGAGATGGATAAAATTGCTAACAATTGCCATCTGTCCCACGGTGCTAGAGATCCAAATACGGAATTAATTGGTGATACTCATTAATTGGTTTGTTCTTTGAGGTCACAATTTATTGGGGCAATTGTTTAACGATTTTTGTTAAAATCGGTTTCTATTAAATAGATGAGTTTGGTGTAAGAAATGGCTCGTTTTAATTTAAACCACAAAGATGGTCGGACTGTTGTTATTGATAAAATATATCCTAATTTGGTTAGAGTTAATTTTTAAGCTAAAAATGGGCAGTTTTATTAATTTTATAATATCATAAAAATAAAATAAGATTATTTCAGAAGTACTTCAAACTTATTAGTTTACATTGGTTGTCGAAGAGTCATTATTAATGTATGGAAAAAATAATATATGTGGATTCGCTCTTCCCTACTTTAAAGTTTTGAGCAATGTACAATCTACTTATATTAGTGTAAGGACTGTGCAGAAGTTATACATATTTTCTTTCAAAGAAACTGTATAAAGCTTTGCTATTTACTTATGAAATTCTTATTTGACAACCAAAATATAAAACTTTGATATACATATGTTGTTGTTATATGTAGATAAAACGTATCGTAGCCAATAACAATTGTGCTAAAATTGAGCTGAGCCTTTCTTTACACAGGTTTGTACCTACATTAATGCATTCTCAAACTTATAATTACAAAGTTATAAGTCCATGTTTTGTCACTAAGCCTTTCTTCGCCGGATGTCAGTATAATATTATTTAATTAAAGAAACCAAGGATAAGTATAAATTTTTTTTCTCAAAATATATTTATATCGATTAATAATTTTAAAAAATCAATAACAAACCAGTTGTTTTTATTGGCACACATTTTAACACTGAAACCGTAATCAAACAAGGGATCGATTAATATTTTTAAAAATCAAATTTTTTTTAGTTGCGGATATCGAAATCGAATTATTTCAGTAATCTCTATAGCGACATGGACTAAATAAGTAAATTAAAGGTAAATATATAAGGTTGTACATTTTAAAGAATTCAGGCAATTACAAATCGAAAGTTTTGTTTTTCTTAAACAGTATGTACATATTTGGGCATATCAAAATTTTGCTTCTTATAAAACCTTTCCACGTAGGTACTTGAATTTTTTCCTGTGTCATGGATGCATTTACAGAAACACATCAAAAACGGCCCGTACACTTTTAATTATTTAAAAAGAACTATTGCAATATGGATCATATGAACTGAAATACTAGTAATTGATATTGTCATTTTGTACGTTATTTTTAAGCATTGATTCTTGAAATATAGCTAACTACTACTACTAATAAAAATTAGTATTTGTTATTGTATGTGTATGTAATAGGGGGTGAACCAATTTATGTTCAAATCTATACTATACATACTGTATATAATATATTATTATTAATATTATAAAGCTGTAGAGTTTGGTTGTTTGAACACGCTAATCTCAGGAATTACTGGTTCGAATTGAACAAATCTTTTTGTGTTTGTTAGTCCATTTATCGGAAGAACCATGTAACAGGAAGGCTATAGGCTATTTTTTTTAATACAACGTTATATCGTACTTACAAATAAAACATCATGCTACGATCTATAGGAGCTGAGCAGCGGGTGAAACCGCGCGAGAAAAGCTAGTTAAACATAATTATAATGTTTAAAAACACAACCGTTTCTTTACCTAAGAAAATTAAGTATGTTATATACAAAAATATTTTTTCCCGGTAGAAAATGGTATACATAAAGTCAAACAAAGCTAAAATCATTTTGAATTATTCGACGCAAAATTCGAATAATTATATTACAAAAAAACTTTAATCAATCTCAACCCCAACGCAGCACAAAAAATATTCCAAAAATTACCAAAAAGGGCTTCAGAACTGACCTGTCTTTTATCGTTCTTCTTCTTGGTACCCGTGGGAGTAGTTTGTGAGTTCTGCTCGTCCTCCTGCCTGTTATGCTCGTTGTCTGAAGTGCCTTCTGCTAAGGACATATTGTGTCTAACAGAGACGCACGGTAGCAAGCTGTTTTCGTTCGAGAATGAGCGCCAGCGGTGCGTGGAGGACCACTCCTAGCTTAGGTACGCTTCAAAAGCTGTATAGTTGCCTTAAGTTTATTTTTTTTAAGTAAATTTTGGGTGGGGATTTGTTTTTCTACAAATTTTCTTTTCTGCTACTGAATGGTTGTGTTTTGTTTTTTGTAATGCGTGTCTTTTTTGTGATTTGCTATTGGGAGTTGGTAGGTTGCTAAATAATTGACGATCAAAATTTTATTTGAACATATAAGTAGTAATTTTTTTATCAAATAATGATTGATGGCTGACGTAAGTGACGATTGTTCTTTGCTTAATAAAACTAAACACAATGCAAAAAATATTGCTGATAAGTTGTTTTTCTGAAATTAATTGCTATCTTTAATATAACAGGCGTTGGGAAAATAACTATGAAATATCACCAAAAAGCTATAGCTATAGCGTGCACCAATTTTTTTACGTTTCAATGGGGGAGAGTCATGCTACGGCACGAATGGGTCGGCTCGGCCGGAGTGATACCACGGCCTCCCATAAAACCGCCGTGTAACAACGACAGCGTTGTGTTTCGCCGTGTGAGTGAGGTTATCAGAGGCCCAAACCTTCCTCTCCTCCAATCCCAAAATCTCGAAATCCCTAATCCCTAAAAGGGCGGCAACGCGATCGTAATCTCCTTTGTTACGGGTGTCCATGGGCGGTGCCGATTGCTTACCACCAGGTAGTCCGTCTGCCTCGTTTAGCGACGTATTTTATATAAGAAAAAAATAAAGGAAAAGAGTCACCTACATAACCTTTTACAAAAATAAAACAAATTAAAAAAAGTATAAAACAGTCGACTCCATAGATTTGTATTAGTTTTTATTACAGGAACTGCTGTAAGTATCCTACAGTTGTATGTACCCATATCGGTATGTTGTAACCAAGACAGCTTTGTTGTTAAGGAGACTATACACACTCTAGATTTTATTTATAAATCCTAGATTTAGTATAATATACCTACTAGGTACTCCCGCGTTTTTCAACCTCCTCCTATTTGACGTAGCGTAATGTTTAGGTCTTTTTTAATTTTAATTCATTGATTTCCTAATATTATAGTTTTTAAGCAAACAAGCTTTATAATATTAGAATTTTTAAATGCCTTTTTATTGCTAGGTGATATTCAATTAGTGCCTAGCTTTTTAGGGAGAATATCCCCAGTATTTAGCCACTTCAAGTGTGGGAGAACCATGCTTCAGCACGAATGGGCCGGTTCGACCGGAGTAATACCACGGCCTCACAAAAAACCGGCGTGAAGCAACCACAGCGTTGTGTTTCGCCGTGTGAGTACCTAAGGATATCAGAGGTCCAATCCTTGCCTTCCCCTCCTCCTCCTCCCAATCCTCAAATCCTAATCCCCAAAAGGTCAGCAACGCACTTGTAAATGTTTCATTTTTGCAGGTGTCCATGGGCGGTGCTGATTGCCTACCATCAGGTAATCCGAGTGCTCGTTTTCGTCCTATTACATAAAGAATAAAATAAACCACCCTAGTGATCACCCTCAGTACTCGAAAGAGGCGCTAGGTCCTCTTGTAGACCTGTTCCCTCATGGTACGCCCGCAACGGGACATCTCTAGAGAGACTTGCATTTCCCTTGAGCCTCGCTTTGCACAGTGGCACAGGATTATAAAATAAAGTTACCATAAAAAATTTTAACCTATAGGAGTTTATTAAGTTGCTTAACATGACTTGCTTTTGGTGCCTTCAACCCCGGTTGGACACAACATAAGATCACGTCTTTATATAGCTAGAAGTGTACATATAAGCAGAAATAAAACTACATTGTTAAAAAAGAGAGAACTCTATGACATACATACATATGTATATTGGACTTAATTCCAGACACAGACTAAATTTATTTAAACTGACCAAAATTTTCTAAAAATTCAGACATCCTAAATGTGCTTTTTCTGACTTGGAACTTAAAACCAAGAAATTTCGTGGAGTTTTTTAGGCCAATAATAGTGTTAAACAATTGAATATATTAGGTAGGTACCTGCCTATAAAACCGAGCCGCCCACTGCCACCTACTATATAAGTAAATCTATAAGATGGAGTACAAAGCTATACATTACACAATTGATTGTAATTACTAATTGACTATAATTGAAAAGTAAAATCCACTGAGGCAGCAGTTGTTTTTACTATTAACTAAATAATTGCTAAAATTATGATCATTGCATCTGTGTTCTAGTTACAAGTATTTAAAAATTGATAAATACTATTTTAGTTTAGAGGTATTGAAGACTTTTATCGAAAAATTACAACATCATCCCATTGTTGTGACCACAGCTGGACTTTATATATAACATATCATATATTTTATATGCCTTATACACAGCAGCCGCTGGTACCACGGCCCCGACTTGAACAGGAGTAGGCATGGGGTGGTTTAGCCAATAAGAGCGCCCACTTACGCCCCATCCAAGGTAACAAAACTCAATGGATGATTTCCCTATCTCAAAAAGTGCCTGACTGTTACTAACTAAAAAATCACACTGTTCCAACTCCGAGCCGGGGCCGCAGTACATTCGCTTACACCTGCAACACCGGCTAGACATCACGCCTTTGAAATGAAATATTTAACTTGTTTTTAATGGGATAGGTCGGCAAACGAGCTTACGGATTACCTGATGGTAAGCAATCAACGCCGCCCATGGACACGCGCAACATTCAGGAAGTTACGAGTGCGTTGCCGGCTTTTCAGGGATAAAGGTTTGAAATAAGAATTGGGAAGGGACGGGGTAAGGGGAAGGGATTGGGCCTCCGGTAATCTCACTCACACGGAGAAACACAACGCTGTGGTTGTTTCACGCCGGTGTTCTGTGAGGCCATCACTCCGGTCGAGCCGACCCATTCGATCGTTAGTCAAAACTATGCCAAAAAGAATTTCCCAATCGTCTAATGGGCTTGTGCTAAAGGTCATAAGAGCCAGCTAAGGGACTGCATATTCTAGCCAGAATGCCTTGCGGTTTCGGTTTTTACTTTTAGCCAGTAAGAGTCTAACCTCATACAGGATAAGGTAGCAACAGTTTTTATAAACTTGCATCTTTAAAACTGCACTTTTGGAAATACATATTTGTAAAACAAAGATCTATAGACTAGGTACTTTTTTAGATTAGCAAATCATAGTTATTGAACTTACTCACTTTAAACAGTATTATTCAATACTTAATAAATTAATATCATTATATTATCTCAAAAAGGATCTCAAAAAAGATCCTAAGCAAGGGTAAACCTGCAAGGTGCCTAAGTGACGTGGCTTGATGAAATGCCCATAGCTTGTCAATGATCTATGACGGTGGTATAACTGCTTGTTCTGCCGATCCCCCAAGTTGAAGGACTGACGGTGATCGATATACGTTACAATGTTAATGAACTGTGCCAATTTTTTGAGGTCACTGTGCAAATAGTGAACTATTGGTTCCGTTGCTTTGCTAGAAAAATATCTTAAACACTAAATTTTTCTTCATATTTTTGTCGACTGAAGTTAATATGCAATCTAAATTCAAAATCTTTACATTACGATAAATTTTTAACATTTGATACACCTACTTTACATTAAAAATAAAATAAGTCTTTTTTACAAGAACCGTTTATTCAAGTGGAACTGTAAGTTCCGAGACTACGCACTTTACAGACATTTTATGTGTCTACGCCGGTACGCATCATTCTTCGTCGTGTATAGAACGCATCCGTAGCGCGAGCGAGAGGTTCGAGCTGCGCGCCTTCCGGCCACTGCCATTCTAATAGTCGCGACGAGAACACACTCAATTATTGTAAAACTTATATTATAATTAGTGATTAAAGAAGTACATCTGCAAAGGGATTTACTTATTTATATCGATCATTATGTATTTAGAGGTAGTCATACTAAACGTTACCATCCGTATTAAAAACTTCAGCTCAATCTGTTAAAGACATCTGCATTAAAATCCTTCACATTCTCAGCAGTGTCTAAATCAACTTAGAAAGTAAAGCTGAAAAAGTTAAACTATGACTGGTAGTTGAACACTTGTGCTTTGACTATTTGTATTAGTATAAAATATAATTACCCACCTCATTTGAGTTGTTGCTAACACGATTGTTGGCAAAAAGTATCGTTTAGGTTTATCAGTACTAATACCAAAATCCAATACCAAAATCTGCTCAAGCGGACTTAGTCTCTTAAACTTAGGCATTTTTATGGAGTAGGAATTAAACGAGCAGTTAGATCACCTGATGGTAAGTACTCATCAGTACCACCCATGGACACCCGCAACATCAGAAGAGTCAAATATGCGTTGCCAGCCTTATAATGCGTTTACTGAAGCTCTGAAAAAATCTGAATCTGAGAGTTTGAGTCTTCCAAACAATAAGGAATCTTCAGACCTAATTTGCTTGCAAGCCACTCCAAACGACTTAAGAATATAAATATAAATGGCGTGATAATAACATATACTAGTGCATTACTTGTCCGTCTGGTTGTAATCTCTGGTAATACTCACTTCAATGTCAATAGATTTATCTCAAAAACGATGCAAATAATCCCTATCCATTATCGTTAAATCATCGTACGTGGAGACTATGCACGAGTCTGCAGACGTCGTGCAAGGGTTCCAAGTGTAAAAGGCATCGGGTTCCACCTGCGACTCAAAGAGCCACCAAACCACCACAAATAGACAACCTACTCCCAGATTTGCAAGTGCAAGGGCAAGGTACTTACTGCGAACCGGCCAGGAGCAGGAGAAGAAACGGGAAGGTTTAAGTCAATAAAAATCTGGACAGACAATATTTTTTCTCTGTAAAAAAGCGTGTCGTTTATACCAAACCATCTTATCGTCCAGTAGTTGAATAATCAGCTTATAACTGTCCACTTCTGACCTAAGGCTTTTTGGAGAAGCTTCTTACATGAAGAAAGTGTGATAAGTAAACACCCCCTCTTGTCCACGATGGATTTACGGTTTTCAAAACTTTAATTATATAGATTAAGTCC